TCAGGGGTTCTAACCCTCCCCTTTTGATTTCTGAAAAAAATCACACGAATGGCCCCCTCTTGAAATAAGAATTTTGACTAGTTGAATCATAGTTCTAAATCGTAGCAAATGGTAACGTTCGCCCTTTAAAATACCAAAAATTTTCGCTGCCATTCAGGGGGTCCTGAATCCCACGCCAAGGGGAGGGGGGGGGCTGTCATTCCTAGAAACCGGACCCCCTTCAAATAATCCTGGATCCGTCTCTGTTTATGTATACCATTTGGGTTGGAAACTGTGTCAAAATTATTATTTATGTGACCACATATTCCTCCCAGTTACTTTCCAAATTAAGATAAAACTTAAAATAAAAATAAGAAAAAATACCTTCTGAAATGCGCAGGAAGATATGGCGTACGAACATTACGAGTTCAATTATTTGATTAAAAGTGGTATGAGATATGGGGTCCAAGTGCAGGGAGGGATCGAGCAATAATCCAAAAGTAAGATAAGTTGTGCCAGGGCATAGTCGATTTGGCGGGAAAATTCCACGCTAGGGTACTATAAGTTTTTTTTCCTACATTGTTGAAAATCATTGTTCCTTGGTCTTGTTATCATTAATCTGTCTCATTGATTGAGAATGTACGTTTCTAAAATTTGGAGGGAAGGGGTGATCGAGAGACGATTTAAGCCTACACCGTTTATTCAAAGGCACTATAAACGGAATTTTACCCCAAAATTTATTTTCACAAATTATTGCTTGACTCGTCTCTGCACTTGAATTCGATGTTTTGTTCTTTGAAATTTAATGATTTAGTTCTGCATGGCCTGCTAATCTTTTAAAACGCCATGCCCTCCTGTACATTTTAGAAGGAACTATTAACGCCAGATACTTTTATTTGAGGAGTTTTATAGTTTTTAAGGTCTGAATTGGGAAAGATCAGTAGCTTTGCAGGATATGTAGACAAAATATACACAGAAAATATCGTTTTGGCAATTTTACAAACGTGTGCAATATATGCTTGTAACTGTCCTTGCAGAACTTTGGATGGTTCAATTTCATAATTTTCGTCAATCTCTTTCAGATTTCCTACGGCCAGGCAGTACCCTACGGTACACCTATACCTATTGCCAGTGTCAAGGCTAATCTTTTTGGCAATGTCGTCATCTACGATGTGGAGAATATGAATATGTTTGACTTAAGTGGGACCGGAATAGCCATTGCTGAGGGAGCCATCGCTGCCCTTAAAGCCGAGGCCGCTAAGAATACCGCTTAGGCCTCCTTATTCCCAAAATTTCCATCGGAGCTTGTCCCAATGTGCTTGTACCAAAATATTGACTTTACATTCCATATATACTTTACAATATACTTTATATATGTGGTTGTCTATTTACTATCGGTTAACTATCGTGCTTTCATGAATGCAAACAAGTTACTCTTATCCAAGTGTAAGTCTGGAAACGTACGTGGTCGTTTTAGAGCCACCGATTTCCTTTTCTTATTTTTACACATGTTTTTGACATTTCCATGTTATATAGTTTCGACTGCATTTAGTTTTTTTTATAAGTGAGATCCCGTTTTTTTATCCGAATATTTGAATTTGGCGGAATTGGAGCAAAATAAAACCATCGCATGCTTAATAAAATACATTTATGCATCAAAGTAGCCTTGAATAGTTTTTTAAAGAAACATCTTCAAAACCTAGAGTCAGACTCAATGAAGTTGTAACAACCCCTGTCATTCAAATAAATGACTTAAAATAACGTGTGATCCAGGATTTTTGAAGGGGGGTCCGAGGATGCGAAACCGACCCTCCTCCCCCCCCCCCCGCCCCCTTTTTGGTATTTTAGAGGCGAACGGTGCCATTTGTTACGGTTTAGAACTACGATTCAGCTAGTCAAAATTCTCTTTTCAAGAGGGGACCATTGGTGTGATTTTTTTTTTCAGAAATTGGATGAGGGATCAGGACCCCCCTGACCCCACCCCCCAAATCCGCCATTGCTAATGAGAACACTGTCAACATCTTTTCTGAGTAACAAATAGAGGGACATTGCATCTGTGTCAGTGACAAATAACAGCGAAATAAAGTCACCTGTTTCTGTGACAAATAAAGTCACCATAAAATAATTTTTCTGCGACAAATAAAGTCAGTATTCAAAGATCTTCATTTACAATTTGCACCTGTTGGTTCAGTAAGATATAAAGGCACTATTCAAAACATTACCATTTGCAATGCATTTGTCTCAGAAAAAAAATAAGGTCACTTGCTTCTGTGACAAATAAAGTCACTATTCAAATGTTTTCCTTGCCGGTACAATGCACCTGCTGGTTCAGTAATAAATTAAGTCACTATTAGAATAAACGTGACAAATAAAGTCACTTGTTTCCTTACAAATGCAGTTCATTACTTTTTAATGTCTTTTTTATTCAAAACTTGCTGTTGTATATTCCAAATTAAAGTTTAAAAAAGAACTTAATTGCAATAAATTAAGGGTGTACAGAATTAAGATTCCACCTGTTATCTAAAATTCGCAGAGTTATCTGCGTGGCGCAGGCGCAGACGTATTAGACTGTGACCTTGACACCATTAGTTACGCTTTGGCTGTGCTAAACGCAGCGATAGAATATAATATACATTCATTTATACGTATGAGTTAAACACTTCAGCATAATCCAGGAAGATGGAGGTGAGCTGCACATCTGAGAAAAAAGTTTAAGTTTAACAATTTATATAAGTTACTTTAAATTAACGGGAACCGAACGATCGATGTCCCTAGAGCACGTAGCACGAAAATTCATGCGTTAGCACTCCCGGTTCTGATATGTACTGGCGGAGTTAGATCTCTTCGTTTATTAGCAAGTTCAGCTCTGTATGTCTCGTATGTCACTTGTATGATAATGGGCAGCTTTTTCATAAGATAAGTCTCTCTCTCTCTCTCTCTCTCTCTCTCTCTCTCTCTCTCTCTCTCTCTCTCTCCATACATGTATATCCTATATCCTAGAGTTCATCACAATAACTTTGAACAAAATTTAAATTTTGGACAAAATTTTACAGTGATTCAAACTGGAGTGCTAGTTTTAACTTTTACTAAAACTAAGGCAATATTTTCACATCAATTTAGACTTGCAATTGCAATTTGTATTGAGAACTGCATTTCATAGTATTAACATGATATAGTAACTATAGTTTTATTACTGTAGAATTGTAATCATGATATATATGTATATAGTTTTTCTTAAGGTGGATAGCTGCAAAACTTATGTTTAAATTTCTGTTGTATTCAAAATGAAATGAATTTTGTTACATTGTATTGTAGGCACTGTGGATAAAACTACAAGCAACAGGCATGATTCCAAAAGCAAGAAGCAGCCATAGTTTGACAGTGGTAGGTAAGAAGGCCTTTATGTTTGGTGGGGAGCATGAACCTCGAAAGCCAATTGATAACAAACTTCATGCCTACGATTTGGAGAAGAATGAGTGGTCAGAAGTGCATACGCATGGTGCCGCCCCCTGTCCACGAATTGCTTGTGCTACAGCTGCAGTGCAAGGGTGGTAAGCACATTTAAGCATATGCATATGATAAGCTGTCCCCGTCCCCTACCTTTCATGTCTTGTTTGAACAAGTAGATAAAATGAGGGATTCTGCATACTCTCCTTTGCTTATTTATTTATTTTGATAAGACTTGTCTCTCAGGGTCTGTGTGCTTTCTACCAAATCTTGTGCTAGACTGAATCACCTTGAACTGAACATCCATTTATATTCTTATTTTTCACTCTCACTATACAATACCTTTCATATACTGGATCTTCTCTCTTACTTGTGTTGTCACTGAAGAGTCTTGGGAGAGATAGAGTCACACTCTCAGATCTTGTTTTAAAATACAGAGGTATATACTCTCCTACCAAAAGTCACCCCTACTGCATTAATGTGCATTCCTCCAAGATGACCATAGATTTAATTTTACTATCACATAACAACTATGTAACCAAGCATCATGGAAATTGGAGATGTGAGTTGTAGAGCATTGACCTACCTAGTGTGATACATTTTTGACCAAGCAGTTGACTTAGGAGGGTGAATGCAGGATCACTGGGAGGTAGGGTTGTTCCATGAGAACCATTCAGAGGATTAGATGGCATCATAACCAAACTGGCACATGGGCAAGATTGGCAAAGGAAACCATGCCCAGAAAGAGAGAATGCTTGCACGCCTTCCTCGTAGAAAACATTTTGTGACATTAAGGAACTTTATTGCAAAGAAAAGGGCAAACCATGTTTCTGAATTCACTGCACGAAGCCATCTGCACAACTGATGTTATTTTGGCAAAGTTTCTGAGGAGGAGAGTGATCACTGCCAGGACTGTCTACAATGAGTCAGATGGTGTACCAGAACTCTGGCATGGACACCAGCCAACAACTGAGCAATGATACTGCGTATTCTCAGAAGAAAGCAGGTTCAGGGTTGTCAGAAATGACAGACGTGTAAGAGTTTGGAGAACAGCTGGTGACAAGTATCTTCCCAATTTTCTACCTCTGGTCAACAGGACAGGACACAGCCCTCATGTCAAGCCATGGTATGGAATGCATTGGCTGCCCTGGTGTAGGTGAACAGGCAGTGATCAACTGGAACTTTAACACAGAGCATTGCATACAAGTACTGGAAAGGAACGTAAGCTTGATAATGCCAGTCCACATACAGGCACTGTAACAGTAGGCTGGTTATATGTGGACCAGATCCAGACCCTCCCAATGGCCAGCTCAATCCCTAGATCAGAACATCATTGAGAATGTGTAGGATATCCTTCAAAATGGGTTACTGGTTGATAAACCTACAAACAAAAATTTCTCATACTATCTAAGCTGCACGATTTGAGGAATCCCATCACTACACAAATGTTACATAACTTTTTTAGTCTATGCACAGAGGTGTCATGTGCATCATCCAATCCAGAGGATACTGTACAAAATACTCAAGTGTGACTTTTATTTATTTTTACTGTGCTTATTCATTGGTTGTACAATCAGTTATTTTTTTGAAAAAATCCTTTTGGAAGTTAAATAACACTGGTTTATGACATGATTTTCTGTATCACTTTACACTTTAGGGGTGACACTTTTTGGGAGGGGAGTATGTATACTGTGCAGCAAGGAGAAAAATATTATCTGTATATAATTTGATTGTACCCATCCCATGACTTTGACGAGAGTCATATTTGTGGGCGCTTACTTACACCCCACAGCTCTTACATTGTTGAGCAGGGGGAGTTGATTTTTGAAAACGCTGGTATTTAAAAATAATGGAGCTTCACTTTATCTGCATTAATCATTTCCTAGTAATAGGCATTTTGGGGGATATGTTTTTAAAGTTTAGCATGTGTAAATGATAATTTTTAGAGTTATGCTTTACAGTTTTAAGTTTAGTCTTAGTTTTCAACTTTGTATTGTGGGCCTTTGTCAGTATCACTCAACTAAAGCAACATGTTGACTTCATCCAAGGTCTGTTATGGTAAATTTTTCTTTTCAGTGTACTGGTATTTGGTGGAAGGACTGGTATAACCATGGGTGAGGGGGCCCTGAATGACCTTCACAGCTTTGACCTAGAATCATCAACTTGGTCACAACTAAACACAAAATGCCCTCCTGCTCCACGCAGCTTTCACACGACTACTTCTGTTGGGACAAAATTTTTCGTCTTCGGTGGCTGTTCGGATAAAGGCAGACTGAATGACCTCCATTGCTATGACACCAAGTTAGGAGAGTGGGAAGAGATGCCATGCAGTGAGGCCATCTTGGGGCGTGGGGGCTCTTGTATTACAGCCCTTGGTGGTGCCATCTATGTTACTGCAGGCTTCAGTGGGAAGGAGATGAATGACATGCATCGGTTTGATATTGCAACAAGAACATGGAGTCAGCTTTCCATGGCAAGGCCCATACCTCCACGCAGTGTTTTTGGCTGTGTACCAGTAGGCGAGCATCACTTGATTGCATTTGGGGGAGAAGTGGATCCATCGGACCAGGGACATGAAGGTGCGGGAGAGTTTTCCAATGAAACCTTTGTTTTCAATACCCAGAACCCCACAGAGGGTTGGACGAAGGTTTCAGTGAAAGGACAGGTGCCGCCCCCTAGGGGCTGGTTTGCTGCTGCTGGTTTACCCAATGGAATGCTGGTGTTTGGAGGGAATTCCCCTAGTAATGCCAGACTAGCTGATCTGTACAGACTTGAAATTGAGGGATTGGCATAGATCTGTTTCAGACAGACAAAATTGAATTTTTAGGAACCTGCGTCCCATATCTACTTTAGTGACATATCCCGTCTTTGTGCTTTTTCAGTGATAAACTGACCAGACAGTAAGCAGGACATAAAACTTGTCTCTCTTTCAACCAACCAAAAAGTATTATCCTAGAGTGCCGGAATAAACACAGGTTGTGCTGTTGCTTTGGCTTAATCAGGATTCTGATTAATGCTGCTTGTGCCATACACTTTGATTCCATTACCCATTGAATGTAAAGGCGAAGTATACCACATCACAAAGTTGCCTTCAATATAAACATATTATTATATAACATGTCTTTTTTGCATACCAAATTTAGGCAGCAAACTGTATATCATCTACGTGTTTGATTTGAATTGTAATTAATGGAACCGATTGACATTCCAGATTATGTATTATTCATGAGGTTTTTGGGTAAAAAGAACCACAGAATGTATTGTTGGTTCCTTTAGTTTTAACATAAACAGTTTACTTGGTGCAAGTAATCATCACTGCATATTTTAATTTGCTTAATGCTATTTGTTCACTGGCTGGGGTAATTTTGCTAAGCTGTGCTGGTGTTGGCTTCACAGAAGAAGTTGAGATTGGAAGTTGGTCTTACCTGTGGCCCCAAGTTTGATCATCTTCTATTTCAAGATAAGCTGTTTTAAAATAACTGTAGTGATTAAGCAATCGTTCACAGTCCAAAACTTCTTTTCATTATATGAGGAGAGTGCAATACTATTGGGCCACGTTCGACTTTTATTGGGTCTTAGTAGACTAAAAGTTGTGGTCTCTTCTGACTTCAGTCATTGGGACTTTCTTAAAACTTTTCCCTAATGTATCAAGTGGAGGCAAAATGTGTGCTTCCCTTTGTAATTCCAGAAACTGAGCCGTGTGAGGTCCCAAATTATTGCTTTTTTTTCTGTTAATTTTCTAGCATATTTAGACAAAATGCTGTATGAGAAAGGGATTGCTTGAATTCTTAGGCATTTATGGCAAGCTTCAAGGCAGCCCATTAGTGTAAGAAATTGTTGGTTATTTCTTGTAGATCTAAATTGTTAATTTGAAACATACATTCAGAAGAAGCACATTTTAATAAATTTATCAATTTTTAATCTAAATGACCTCGACTTATTTTTGGTTCGCAACACATTTAAATGTAATTCAATGAATTTAAGTAATTTTGCCTGAATTCATTGAGCTTTAAATTTTCCATTTCTCCTGAACAAATGTGAACAGCCAAATAAAATATAAATTATGTGCAAGTACACGATTTTTTAAAAATCAATACCAAGTCGTGGTTTAAAACTAGCATCAGTTTATATTTTCCTTGCAATGTTTAACTTCCTAACCTGTAACCTAGAGATTTTATCATTAAAAGCAACAACAGGGAAGACAAGCTGTTTAATAAATGATTGTATTTTATGATTACACTATTCATCATGAATATCCATTAAAAAGTCTTGTGCACGCGAAGACCGTGGACAGAATCATATCAAGAACGAAAGAATCCTGAACAATGCCAGAATTCGTGCACGATTGTGCCAGTAGAGATCTTGTCTCAACTACTGCAATGTTGCCATCCAGCCACACTAGTCTTGCCAAGTCTGGTGTCGTGCCTGTCCCAAAGAGGTCTGTCTTATTTCCCCACAAAGAAAACAAAACGGTTTTTTATCATTTCCACCACAATAAATAAATGGATGAATAAAATAAAAATCCCCTTTTTCATGCACAATAGCCTTTTTCCATGCACAATATTTAGTTTGAGAACCATTAGTCTTGCGATGCAAATGCATCAGGTAATGCAGTCTCTCCAAGTCGCAAACACACCACACCATTTGTTCGTCTGGGCCCACTATCACATTGTCAATTCCTGAAATTGTAAAAAAATTTTTAAAGATTGAACACAATGCTGGCCTCATTAAATTGTTGTTCACAATAATATACAGAATTTGAATCACTAAGGGGTTTTGAATGTGTTTAAGTATTATCATGTATATTTTTGAAATTTGTTACAATACAAACAAAAAGACCATCTACTGCCTATTTTCTTTTCTTTAATCTCGAACATCCTCCCCAAAAAACACATTCTAGCAGCTATAATGGCAGGTCAGAAGTAACATGGTAGAATCATAATATTCATAGCCCAATGCTTACTGTCATCATACCTTCTGCTGATGCAACATCCAGTAATACTGTCTTGAATTATTTGTTTAAATTTTGTTGCATATTTATCTAAATAGATTTCTATACACCTGACATAACCACTCACCATTATAGCATTAACAATATCATTCGAATTATTTTTCAAAGCCCGTACTGCCTTCGACCGAGACACGTTGGCTTGGGACATGACCAGCTCAACGTCTTTGGCTTCCACGCCCGTGTCATCAACCTGAAACACAAAGAAAACGTCTTAGACTTCGAAAATGAAAAAGTTTTTTCAATAATTAAATTTTACATTTAAAGAATAAACATTTCGCCATTTCTTTTAAGTCAATCATAACTTAGACAAAAGATGTTTCAGTATTAGACTGTAAGACACGACGACAGATGATTATAGTGGCTTGTGTCATTTTTTTTTCTTTTTGACTGTGCTTGTTTCGCAAATATTTAAGGAGAGAAATGTAGGTCTCCTAATATCACATTCCTACCTCCTCTTCATCTGATTCTTCCTGGATGGGTTGTGATACAGGAACTCCAGGCACCCCTTCTCCAGCAGGTGTCGCCTCTGCTGCCTTGAATTTTTCTGCAGCAGCTACTTGTGCCTGCTGACTCAAATCTTCAATCTAAGAGGAAAATTTGCATGGAAACGATGATGAGGTTGTTGTTGATGAAAAATATATGCATGTATTGTAATATTAAAGAAATTCATGGACTTTGGTAACTAAAATCATACCTCATCATTCAAATCATAAAAAAAAATGTTGCTGCCAATAATTCAACTTTTTTTTTTTTAATATTTCACCAGAACATTTCGGGGAGGGAACAGAAAGCAAGACCATCTCTTTACCTTAGCCTCTCCAAACACAATGTATGTGTCAGACGCTGGACTCTTGTACACATCAGGCCTGTTGATGACAAACAAAATGTTTTTGGACTTGCGAATGGTCACTCTGGTCACTCCAGCCACATGCTTCAGCCCTGGCAGGGAAAAAGTACACTAAGGTAAATACACGATTGGTGCAAATATCAATGGCATTTCACTGGAGAATTTTCAAATTGACGTATCACAGGAAGCAAACTAGCTGTAAAGGTGTTAAAATTGTAAGACAACACAAAGCTTTCCTTCATCAATATAAGCAGCTCTGCAACCAATGACACCCTCAGTTCTGCTATCAATTATATTCAGCCACTGCTATGTCAGAAGTAACATGGTAGAATCATATTGTTCATAGCCCAATGCTTACTGTCATCATATCATAAGAGTGCTCACATAATCAATGGCAGATAAAAAAATAATAATAAACAGCAGCTTGCAAATTAACAGTAGACAGTGTACATAAAACCCATGGCCATACCATTGTTCGTTTTACCAATCTTGAAAAATCTAAACAACTTCTTAATAATCATTGAGACAAGTTCTTGCTTCATTTTTTACCCATTTTCATAACAGACAATCGTTGGTGGGAATATCATGTGAAATATCTGATAAAAAAAGTTTCCTCACCAAGCTTGGCCATAGCTTTTCTTGCTTTCTTTTCACTCCTGCTCTGTTTGGCTTTGCTGACTAGTTCCTCTTTGATACCAGCTGCTTGTGCCATCTGGTGGGGGAAATGTGCATTTGTTTTGAAAACTATACTATATGAAATGTAACATTGAAAATTAACTATGGGACCTTGGTCATTCTGATTAAATATGCATACAGTTTCTATTCTCAAAAATACATTATTTTTCCAAAATGACCAAATTATTTCTTAGGGCAATCAGAACGAAGCTTTGAAATAAATGTTATGTTTGTAATTTTCATCAAAATAACGTATATTGAAAAAATAATAAGAACAACTGATACACAACAGTTTTCTTTATCATAACATGCAGATGATCAAATGTACAAACAATTTCCTCCTACCTGACTCTGTTGCTGCAGAGTGGCTGGGTCAGCTTCTTCCAAATCAGGAACATCATCATCACTGTCCGACTCTGTCCCGGAGCCTGACGCCTCCACGTCATCTACTGGCTTCTCAACTGCTTCAGATGGCATTCTACAATAGAAACTATTTTAAATTGTGGGTACATTATTTCTGTACAAACTATAATTGGATCATTTCTTGTTGACTGGAGAAGGGCATTCATCCTTATTTTCCAGAGACTGTTAGCTATTGCTAACACTCTGTTTAATCAAAAATCCAGAAGAATCCTCTTTAAGGAAGCTCTGTCATATTTCGGAAACAACATTTTTGCCCTAGTCAATTGGAGAAAAATTGTACTTAAGACAAAATGTACCATTTTGACAAGAGGACATCCACTAAAGCTTTACGAGTCTAGATCCTCAAACAGTATTGGACACAATGCATTCTCACCATCATTCTCAAACTGGCCATAGAAGTAATTACAGCACTGTCAATCAGTAGTTTTAAATCAGACTAGACAAGTTAGGGAAGGGCCTATCAACTCTACATAATTATGACGAACCCTCACACTGCAGAGAGATAGCCAAGACAACGTTCCACAGAACCAGGGTAGCAGAAGCTACAACAGAGGAGGCACTTGGATGACCCTTCAGTCGTGAAACATCATAGGTTGCATAGGTTGCCATTACTACCATGATTACATTACCAAATCTGGGCATGGGCTTGTATTTGAAATAGATATGCTATGTCCCAAAAAAATAGTTTCAAATCAATATTAAAACATCAATCACTAAGAAGAACAACTACAGCTTCTAGCTTAAAGAAATAGCATGGCATTTACCTATCATGGGCTCTTAGTGATTAAAGCTGAAGTTGCCGCTCAAAACCTATACAAGTAAACATGTACCTGCGTGCTCAGATGTCATGCCTTCAATTTGGAGACATTTTTTACACAGAAAACACTCGACTCTTGCATGAAAACTTCAAAAAGTATAATTACGTGGCTTCTATCGACATAACTGTTACGTTGAAATCAATCCTGGCAATGAAATAGACACGATGATGACAGATGTACTTACTTGTGTGATATAAGTCTTTCTTGCCTTTCTCAACGATGGCGACCAATAGGATGTGACGTCATGCAGGTTCCTGTAGTTCTTCACAATAGAAGTCCCGAATTATACGTGGTGACCGTCCCAAACAAAACGTAAACAGGTAAGAATTTGTTAAATTAAACGAAAATTGTTAGGTTTTTGTGAAAAATTACACTTACACATCTTCAGAGAAACTGTTCTTAGTCTAGGGACTATGTGTTTCAAAATTATTTTACAAAAACGTGATATTTGAACATGCTTAGTGTTTCTCTTGTCCTGCCAGTGCTAGCCAGTATTTTATTACTAATAATTTGAAGCATATCACTCACAAGTAAAGTTATGTTTTAGTGGTTCACGAATCATTATGATAATGTTTTAATCTTTTTATTCCATCTACTGAGTATACAGTAGTGTTTGGCTGAGTGTTTGCACTTATGGGTGCCATTTGACTTTGTATCACGAAAATTCATGCGTTAGCACTCCTATTGACGATTCTGATATGTACTGGCTGTGCACAGCCAGTACATATCAGAATCGTCAATAGGAGTGCTAACGCATGAATTTTCATGCTAGGTGTTATGAGGCCTTACCTGTGGAGCATGCAAGGCTGAAACCCTAGGCAAGGGGTAGCATGATAAAAAAGATCACTTATCTGCCTGAGCCCTGGTCTTCCTTCCCAGTAATGATTGAACCTTAGGGATGATTTTTTTTCCTGAGGGGTTGTTCCATCTCTTTTTAGATCTGCCTCTAGAAGTAAATCAGACAATGGTTTCATATGCAGCTGTCATACAGTGCGTTGCCCACCTAAATGTAATCTATATATTAATTCAGATCTTCTTACTCTCTACACATTTTCTGATAGATCCAGTAACATGACATCTTTTGTGTATTGAAGCCCCTTCTGTTAGGAATGTAGTATAAGCAACTTTGAGAGAATTCTGTTTGACATCTAGCAAAATTATAAATACATTATAAAACACAAGGGTAAGTACAAATCAAAGAACTTATATAGGAGTGCTAACACATGAATATGTATGGCATGCTACAATTGTAGTATTTGGCTTGAGTGTATATTTGGATATACAAGATAAACAGCAAAACAAGAGAGTACATGTACTGCTGTTCATGGCTATATTAACTGGTTAAACAGGAGTGCTGAGGCATGAATTTTCATGCCAGTAAACTTGAATACTTACTTACTGAATACTCACCATTTTCGATTCTACACGGCACATTCTTCCTTTAATATCTAGGACCTGCCAGTGAATACTGTTCCTTTAATGCACTGTCATCACATAAGTTTTCCAATTAATTTTCAACATTTTCCCCTAGGTATTGCCATGTCCAGGTAACAAACGTGTTTATCAGTCAAGATGCCAAGTGCAGGTGCTATAGGGATTCCATCCATCATCCCACTGAGGGACCCCATTCCAGGGAAACCAAGCAACCATATAGATATTGCAACTTGTATAGAGCTTAATTGCTGTAAGTACACACACACACACACACACACACACACACACACACACACACACACACACACACACACANTTGTATAGAGCTTAATTGCTGTAAGCACACACACACACACACACACACACACACACACACACACACACACACACACACACACACACACACACACACACACACACACACACACACACACACACACACACACATGTTTGACACCTAATAGTCATAATGACTATGTATAGTCTGATATGTATAGTCTGATATGTATAATCTTTCAGAATTGGCACTTGGAATTATAAATCTTTCATAATGTCATTTCTATGACTTCTTTAAACTTATTTTAGTGCCACACCTGTTGTTACAAACCAGATAATGATCTTTCAAAATATCATTACCAAGGGTTTTCTTTCTTTCTTTTCAGCCACCTCTGGTTGCAAACTTTATTTCACAACAGATGGCAGCCGTCCAGACCCATTTCAGAGGAAGTCATCGGTGGGACAAACATTCAAGTACAGGGGACCATTTACTCTCAAACCAGGAAAGAGACTTTTGAAAGTCATAGCCATTGCTAGGTAGGTCCAATTTGTATTCTGAATGCATATTGCATAGAAAAACTCATTATTTGATTTGTAGCTGTGTCTTAGTACTTCTGCTTACCACTGTTTTGTGAATAATAAAATGACAAGATGAAAGGAATGTTTAAAAAGAAAGGAAGAAAAAAGAAAATTGTTTATTTGCCAAGATGAATTAATATATTTTGAACTGATTAGTACGAATAGTAATTTAACCAATGGTAAAACCAAAATATATAAATTCATGTGGTACTAGTCTTGTGCCCCCCTTTCCCTTCCATTCAACAGAAAACACACAGACATACATGTACTTCCTAATACATTTATAAGCTGGACCACTATCAAAGTGTAGACTGTTTGACAGAGAGATAACACAAGTATGAATTGTTGTCAAGTGTTTTTTTTTTTTTTTTTTTTTTTTTTTTTGGGGGGGGGGGTGGGGGGGATGAGGAGGGTGGGGAGGATTATTACTACACAGATTTTGTTTGGACTTTTCTAAATGCGGCTTTTATTATTATTTATTAAGCCCAAAGACCAGTTTTAAAAAAGAATTTTAGACAAATTTTGTTTTCACTTTTAATACCAAAATTTTAGTCTTACTCTTCTTAAATTCAGGATAAATCTGTAGTGGTTCACTACTGTATGGTAAACTGACATTTGGCCTTAAAACATTAGTCATTTATTTTTGTTATAATACAGGTGATTGAAGTATTTCTGGACCACTTCTGGTTTATGTTGAATGAAATTATGCCACCTTTGACAGGATAACACTTGCCATTTACCGTGTGTTTATTTGCAATGGGGGTAAAAAGAAAGTGCCCCCTAACACCAGAGTCATTTTCTGGGTGTGTTTTCCAAGCAGTAAAGGCCGGTTTGTTACAGAAATTCTATTTTGAAGTAATGAAAAAATGTTGTTTTCTTGTTTTCAGGGATGGACTTCATGAAAGTGCAGTAGTAACCAAGACATTCCAAGTGGACGACTTTGACTCATCTGATTACAGCGATTTTGATGACAGCAGCACCATTATCAGTACCAGCACCGACACTTCCAGATTTACAAACAGGACAACAGACACTGAGAGATCTGTACCAAAGAAAAAGGTATAACTTAGTCTAGAAGGTTTAGTTTTTCATTTAGCTAGCAATAATGCAGTCTTTTTGTATCTTGACAAAAAGGAAACAAGAAGGGTATATTATATATGTTTATTGACATTTATTTTTTTCTTTAAAGAGGGAAAAGAATAAACTGATACTTATGGTGATTCTTAGAAACTACAGACAGTGACTATGGCAATATTTATTTTTATATTGACTTAGATTTGAATTATACAGCCTGAATCAATCTATTTTTTACTGAATAATATTTTCAGTCAAAACAAAATTTACTGTATATAAGCCTGCCATATTGCTTATTATAATTAAAAGATGTTTCAATTGTAAATTTTTGTTTGTTTAAAAAATTTATAATATATGATGATTGCATATGATCATGAAATTTCAGAAGAAAGATAAAAAAGACAAGAAGGACAAGGAAAAGAAGGATAAGAAGCCAACCACTCCAAGAAAAGCATGGGAAAACGGAGACATGAGACCTGTGTCAGGTACATACTAGCACCAGAGCTTATGAAGTATTCAAGTTATATATCAGAAATCTTGAATTTAGTGCCTCACTCAGTCATTTTATTTTTACTTTGTGTGTGTTACATAAGTCCTGTTTTTCTATACAGCCCCACCAGATATGGATGGCCCATTCAACCCAGTCAACTACTCTGGAACGCAGGTCAATGTATGGGGCGTGCCCCCAGACCAGGCCTCCAATATCGCAGCCAATCCACGGCCCTGGGTGCCAGGACCCAACCCCTCACCACCCCCCTGGGCCTCATCCACTGGGAACCAGTACGGCTACTACACCAATCAGATGATGGGGGTAAGTATAGAAATTAGAGATAGTTTGACTCTCAGGCTTTTTATTTTTTATGTATATTTTATTATTATTATTATTATTATTATTATTATTATTATTATTATTATTATTTTGAGATCATTTTTAAACAGAAATTAATGATAGTCAAATTATTTCCAGAAATATCCATTTTTTTTTGGGGGGGGGGGGCGGCAGTAGTCCACAATTTTGATATAATAGATAATTGGATTTCAGCCTGTCCCCCTCCCCCTTCCCACGTTTGCTTTCAACTTCCTGCATACACCAAAAATACAGTTTTCAATCTTGTTGATAACATCTTTAAAATCTTTTTCCAGAATTTGTATCCAAACCGTGGTCCTATGGTAGCTGAGATGTTAACCCAGAAATTGGATGAAACTCGTCAGAAGACAGTAGCAGAAGTGAGGCAGGCATTGCAGACCACCCCTCCAAAGCCAGCCATTGAGTACCCTGTGAAGACAGTGCCTGATGCTAATCCTTGCAGCCCAGGAAATGGTTAGTGTGATTGTGTGTGTGTGTGTGTGTGTGTGTGTGTGTGTGTGTGTGTGTGTGCACATGTGTGTGTGCATACGTGTGTGTGTGAGAAAGAGCTAGTCTAAGGATAAATATTTCAAATTTTGTACGTTTTAATTAATACACTGTAACAAATTATATTATTTCACAGAGACATGTTATAAGATAACTTTTTGCATTTATCTAATAATATTTAGCATATCCATGGATAAGTCTATCATGTCCACTTAAGAAAATCTGTAAGATATTTTATATGTATTGATATTTTACTTATTCCAGGAAACTGGCGTGAGCAGATTGAGCATATTTATGCCCATCTCCTAGAATTAGCCAAAAACAATCCAGATTTCAAGGAAACTATAGCAGAACCTAAGATGGGCAGGGTACGGACCTCTTTGTGTTTTATTTCTACATTTTAATGACATTGATTGCTCTTAAGGAAACTGTTTTGGTCATGGTTTTCATTAATTGTTGTATTGTTTAAACTGGATAGCCTTTTAGGGATGAAGATGGTGATTTCTTTGTTAATTACAGTTTTCCCCTATTACAAGGTTACTGAAGTGGCTAAATATATTACCAAAATTGAATGTGAGAGTTAGATTCAATGCTTTGTGTATTTTTTAAATATCAGTTGGTAAGTTTATGCAACAATTTAATGTGTCAGTCATAAATGACAGGTAATGTGTAATATCTCATTTAAGTTGAATGTCAAATTTCCAGGTGCACTTTCAGGTGAAAATTGTACATTTCTGAGGGATAAGGCAAATAATTAGTGCTAAATACTCTTTTCCTCTTTGTACATATAGGTGATAGGCGCAGACTTTGAAGAAGATGATGACAGCTACATTCTGACAGTAAGCTTAGCGAAATATGGTGTTCCAAAGAAAAAGAAAACAGCTCCAGTTCCAAAAACCCAACAGCCAAAAACCCAGCAGCCTCAGAAACCTCCACCTCAGAAAACTGCTCCTGCCAAGAAACCGGCAGAGGCTGCCAAGACAGTAGCTGCAGCAACTAAGTGGGCCAGTAAGAAAGGAGAAGGAGCACCACCCCCAATGAAGCTTAAACCCAAGCCAGAACCTGAGGCAGAACCTGAGCCTAAAGGTCCAGAGCCTTATTTTGAGACAGAGGAGTATGAGGTACAACACATCGATTTAAGCACTACATTCAGACAATTGGGTTGCATTGTCACAAACACACACACGTGCAAGCACACATGCCCACGAGTAAGCAACACACGCACGCACACATGCATGCACGCACACACGCACGCACACACACACACATTGTGATATATATAAACGTTCAGAATATAGGTGTATTGTAGTAGAGTAGGGAATCGTAACATGTGTGTCACCTTTCCCCAAAAAATTACCAGTGGCCGATATCGTAATTTTATGGCCTGCTGCGATATGTCAGAAGTACAGTAAGACCGACCCAACTGACCTTAGAAATGCCCATATAGGGAGAAAGGTGGATTCAAATTTATGTGTGGTACATAATATGTGTAGTATATTTTAGCACATAGGTTAAAATTGTTATTATTTCTATATTTTTGTTTTTGTAGCAAGAGGGCACTCTGAAGCCATATGAAGGTTTCAATGTTCAGCAGGACTGTGAAGTGCTCAGGAAGGCTATGAAAGGACTAGGTAAGGGTGTAGAGCACAATAAGCAGCAGATGATAGCACTGGAGAGTGAAAATGAAATACAAAATTTAGTTAAGTTTCCTGAGATGTCTTACTTATAAATCTTATACACTTAGCCCTTGTTTACACTTCATTTATAATAAAAATACCATGATAATCATTGTAATAAAATGGTGTTTCAGGCACAGATGAGAAAGCCATCATCCAGGTGATGGGGTACAGGACCAGCACTCAGCGCCAGGATATTGTCAGACAGTTCAAGACCATGTTTGGGAAGGTAGGCAAGACCTGTAGGTAGGGAGGTGGTCGAGGCAGCTTAAAATAACCATCCTTTTGGCCAAGGAAAATTCTACTCTGCATCAAAATTAAATCTTGATTTTGTGTGATTTCTCATTATGCATAAAAAGGTCCACTTTTTCAGCAAAAGAGCCTCTCATCCCTTGAATTAAATGATAAATGCTAAAACTTCAAAGATGATTAGTAAACTTACCGGTACAACATATGCATGCTAATTTGATTCCTCCTTAGTTCAATGGGTAGATATTTTAAAGTTCAAAACAAAGTACGATGTATACATAGAGTGAGCATATTTTATCTCAACTTTCCAGGACTTGATCAGCGAATTCAAAGGAGAGCTGAGCGGCAATTTCTACAAGGCCATTCATGCTCTATGTTTGGCCCCGGCTGATTATGATGCATATGAACTCCAGAGAGCAGTGAAAGTGAGTGTTTTCTGTGTACACCCATGTTACCGTGTGTTTTAGAGGTCAGATGTTTCAGGGTTTGTTTCAAAGATTAAAAAAGTGGGGGAGGGGGTGGATATAGCAGGTTACATAAGGCATATTTTCATGAATATTGGGGGGGGGGGGGGGGGGGCTCAAATTTTTTAAATGTTGTTCATTAGAATTAGTTTTTTTTGTTAATTATGTATACTGTGTGCACTACTTTTACAGGGCTTGGGCACAGATGATGACTGCCTTATAGAGATTATATGTACCAGGACCAATGCACAGATTGCAGCCATCAAAGAGGCCTACAAGAGATGTGAGTATGAGATGATATGTCACAAAGTGTGGTTAATTTCATCTTTTGAATGCACTCTCTGCACCCTGAGATCCACTGACCACTGCCAAGGCATGCTGATTTGAGAAAACTTCAGTTAAGTTTCCAGTGAAACTCGGGGTGATCTCCCCTTGTGCTAACCTTTTTTTTTTGATGACTTTACACATCTTATGATGAAAGACAAAACAGAAGTTGTACATGTAGAACATCTAAAATCACCCAAAAGATCATGAGGAAATAGTAAATACAGAGAAGAAAAGATGCTATTACAGAGAGAGTGGATCTTTATTTATTATAAAATTTGTTATGGATATAGTTTGAAGGTCTATCCTAAAATTATAGCAAAATGCAATTATAGCAACATACTTAAATATGGTTTAATGTAATATTACTAGCAGGTTGTTATTATTTAACTGCCTTTATTCCTAATATTTTGTAAGTGTTCAACAAGGAGTTGGAGAAGGCCATAATGGATGACACATCTGGCCATTTCAAGCGTCTTCTGGTATCACTGCTACAAGGGAACAGAGATGAGAGTTCAACATTTGACAGGACTCAAGCCCAGCAGGATGCACAGGTACTTGTTATATAATTATCAATAGAAACATAACAGAAAATGTTAACATGTAGGTTGATGAGAGACTAACTATAAGCCTGAATGTAAGATTGAATTAATTTTAAATGATTAAAAGTTTAAATGATTGGGTAATTTACTTGAGAATTTTACTTTTAATAGGAATTATATCAAGCAGGAGAGAAGAAATGGGGCACGGATGAATCCAGATTTAATGTCATCATTGTATCACGCAGTTTCGCACACCTCCGTGCTGTATTTGAGGAGTATGAAACATTGGCTGGGAAGGACATTGAGGCATCAATCAGCAGTGAAATGTCAGGAGATATTAAAAATGGCATGCTGACAGTTGGTAAGGGGCCTTTTATTTAATTACTGATTATGTTATGAAATGAATCTTCATCAAGCTCTATAAAGGCATTCCATGAAATTGTTATTACATGGTAATGGTTACTAGATTTTGTATCAATTTGATAAATTGCCTTTAAGTTAAAGGTATACAGGTACAGTGTGTTAGACCCTTGCAAAGATTTTTTTAAAATTTCAACAATTTTCTTTAAACATCAAGGTATGATATATGCCTTATCCAGAATGTTGAGAAAATTGCAATCTATTTGACTGGTTCTTGAGTTCTCAGTTTCTGATTGTAGCTTTAGCTCAATAATTCACCAGTTTCATCTCCATTATGAGGTTGTCAACAATGACAAACAATAAATTTGAACTTGAAGATGGTAATATAGATTGTGATTTTCTCAAGTTTTTACTAGGTCATACTTGTGGAGCAATTAAAGAAAAATGTTGAAATTTCTAGTGTTTTTTTTCTTTTTTTGTTATATCAGGGTCTAATGTTCAATATACATTAAAGTGTGATGAAAATTTGAGATTGATTTATGTTGTCTTTTTTTATTCAATATAAAGAAGGGGGACTGATGTCCTTTGATATGTCCTCCAAGTAATAACCTTATTTTTTGTTTTAAAAAAGTCTCATTTATGAATCACTTTATTTTAATAAAAATTACGATAATATTTCTTATTTCTCCACAGTCAAAAGCATCAAGAACAAGCCAGCCATGTTTGCACTGAAGCTCCACAAAGCAATGAAAGGTCTGGGCACAGATGATGATGCCTTGGTCCGCATAGTGGTCACTCGCTGTGAGGTGGACATGGTCCAGATTAAGGAAGCTTTCATGGCTATGTACAACCAGACACTTGGGAAATGGATTGCTGTGAGTAGAAAAAATATTTAATAATTTTCTTTTATGGCCAGTTTTTGTTAATTTGAATCATTATGTATGGTACACGATGATACTTTATCATTTAATGATTTTTTTATTATCTATATCTTTATCTATCTATCTCTCTATCTTTCTCATGAAAGCTTTTAGTTTGATAAAAAAAAAAATACCATTGGTTTGTAGAAAAATAGAAAACTTTTTTATTTTTTATTGTAGGATGACATCTCAGGAGACTACCGTCAGCTTATCTTGGCCCTTGTGAACGAAGAGGGTGCTGCAAGAAAATAAAACCAAGACAAGCTGAATAATATAACATTACTTTTTAAAAGGAGTGAAAGAAAAATGACTGGATTAGATACTTTACACAAAGTAAATGCTTTTGTGCATGCTGAATTATGAATTTTTTTCTCAGCGGAGAAGGTAAAATACATGTATTGCTTTTACTTGGAAGAAATTATGAGATATAATATGTAAAAAAATATTTTAAAATATGTTTTTTATAAATGATAGAAAAGTTTTTGTTGTTGTAATTATTCCATGTGGGTGAAGGGAGCTGTGTGCACATGTAATACATGTAGATGCTAAAAATATATATATTATTAAGATATACTGTTTCTTTTATATGTCATCCTGTGAAGGTATAGATATATTACTGAAGTAACTATTTTACTAGTTTTTATTTAATATTATATGTGTTCTTATTTTTTCATTGTAAGTGTATAAATCTATCCACAGAGCAAATGCCCTTATACCAGGCTGATTATGTCTATTATAGCTTGCACACTAGAAATGCAAGCTCTGATTTAATTGCAACTTTTACTTTTTGCTTTCTACTTACTATATTTACTGGATCTGTGCAATAGGAAATGGATATCTTTTTTATTCTTGAAATCTTCTTTTCTCTGTTTTTTTTTTAAACAAAATTTTATATTAGGATTTATCACCAAATGAAAGTGTGGTCAATATTTCAGTCCAGTTGATAATATTTATAGTAAGCACTATGAGATGATGTCTAGAGCTGTCTCAGAAATATCTTTATTAAAAATGCAAATTTATGATTTTTGTATAATAATTATGTACTTAAGTTGTTAGCTGGCTAACAATATATTTGATAACAAAAGGTAAATATTTGACAATCTTGACATTTGAACAGACATAAAGTTAGCAAAGAATACTAGAAAAGTTACTTCATTTTGAGTTGAAGTGTGTAAGTGTGAATTATACACTATGTTGTGATACAATACAAATGTTGCATATGTCCAGAATTTCTTTTTCTATGGATCCAGTGTATGCTGAAACATTATTTATTGTTTTATAATGTAGTTTCCAGTAATGATGTAATAATGCAAATCTTATGTCCCAAGAGTAGAAGATTACAATAACAAACAAGAATTAAATAAATTTAAATGGATAACTTTGTTTTACATTCAGGGTTTCCAAGTATTTATTGTGAAGGTTTTTCTTTTTCCTTATCCGTCCAGGGTTTCTACTTTATGCCTTTTTTCTTTATAAATTTTTGTGATTTATATTCAGTAATAGACTTTTTCCATCTGTGTGTAGACATCAGATATCTAAAAGTATTTCAAAATAAGGGAATCATCATGTCTTGAATTCTTAGTATTGAGGTTTCAGAAATACCAGTCAATCCCTTGCACACACAGACTTTGTTGCAAATGATTGCTTTGCTTTATATTTGCAGCAATTCCATGTTGAATCTTGAATAGATACAAAATAAGAAAAGTAATTATATACAGTAACTTATTTAAATAAATTTATTTGGATATGTTTTTGTAGCATTAAGTTGATGTACACTTTATTTGTAATAAATTTTTTCATAGATATTGCTGGTTTTTTTTTTTTTATTCTTTCTAAAAAGACACAATTATGATTAATAAGAATGATACTGTGGTGAACATTACACGTAGGGGAAACCCAACGGCTTGGAGAGAGAATGATAAAATAATATTATTTGCTGGCTGTACATATACATTAGATTACTGGCTCCACAAGATTTAATTTACATTTCTGATAAAATGTAAAATACAGAGATGAATCAATTTCATCTATGCACAAGATAACGGTAAAATGTAATAAATCTTCAGGCTGCAGATAGGTTTTAGGAATGCCCTAACATATTTTACCTTGTTTTTCTGAATTGAATACATTCAAAACCAGCTATTCAAAATCATTCAACCAAACTGTACTCATGGGTTACAGCACCTGGTACATACTGTTTATTGTGCTCAATGAGGCCTTTTTTTTATCAACCCTCCGACCTGAGATGACAGCAAATGTCTGGCCTATAATGACATTGGGCGGCCATATTGAAACCTGACATCGTTTGTCTTCTGCATCCAGCTAGTTCCGTATAGGAAGACCCACTTTGAGAATGAACGGATAGCCTGCTTTTGCTACTGCGATGGAGGTTCACTGCGATGTTTGCGATGCTGTCGTGTGTGTTGGAAGAGATCAGTCTGGTTAGTATTTTTCGGACTGTTAAGAATTTATCTTAAGTGCTAAAACATTGAGAAAGCAACATTCTAGTTAGGTGCTATCCGCCAAAAAAAAAAAAAAAAATTTATCCATCAAAAACGAACTTTACTTGGGTGTAAGGATGGTTTGGATAGACGGGCGGAAGGTGGGGTGGAGGGGTTTTCTAGAGGTTAGAAAGACTGTCCTTTTGCTTTTGAAACGTCCGGTTTTATTAAAATTTTGATCTAGGTTCTCTTCAGTTTTTCAGTTTAGGTCAAATAAGGGGTTGTAGAGGTCCACTTCTTCAGAAAAGACCCCCACTTTAAATTGTTGTCTGGAAGCCTTTGTACTGAAGCCTTGCAGGGTGCATCAACATCCCTCAGTTTATACCTTTCATGGTGTATAGGACTTGTGTAGTAGATGCTTGGCAACTGACATATACATGTTCTGTATCTGATCGAGTGAATACACTAGATTATTCAACTCAGGCTTATGGCTTTTCTGTCTTGCGTTGTACATCTTGAGAAAGCAGTTGTTGACAAAAGATATAGTGTGAGTAAAAGCCACCTTGATCAGTTTATGAATCTTAAAATGACTTATTATACCACACTGTTTTACCATATCATTATTAAAAAATGAGTTAATAAAAGAAGGTTTGGATCAATTAGGTATTTTTTAATGATTTTGGCACTAGTAAAACAGTAAAGCATATATATTCAGATTGGCGATTTCAATTTTAATGTGGCGTGGATAAAATGCTACATGAGAAATGTTTTTTGTCTCAGATGGCAGTATGGCTAGGCACATCCAGGGCAAGCGTCACCAGCGTCTCTTACAGATGAAGAACAAGGTGGCAGAGAAGGCCAGTTGCAGTGTATTTGTGAGGGGTGTCCATGGGAACACTAAACTCAGCGCAGCTCAATTGAAGGAACACTTCCAGAAATTTGGAAATATAAAGAAAGTTGTGATGGACAAAGTTAAGGTAGCGTCTTACTCTAAATGTACAGTAGATGATCCCTCTGAGATAAAAAATTTTTCATGTCATTAATGGTATTATAACCCAAAATGATTTTTGTTAAGTCTGTGTACTGTATTAAATATTAAAATATGTGTAGTTTTTAAAGTAATTTTGTTTAATATATAATGATTAAATATTGTCAGCTTAAAATCAGTGATCAAATTCAGCTTTTGAAAAGTGTCTGAATTTTTCACCAAAATTGATATTATAACAGTCTCTGTATGACATCACATGCTTTTAATTAAAATAAAAAGGCACTGCTATTCAACACTGCCCAAGCAGTGAAACAAGAGGCACTTATAATAATATTGGTAACACTTGTTAAACAACCATATTGATTTTCAGTCTTTGTATGCCATCATCGAATTTGACTGTAAGGATGCAGCCCAGCAGGTGCTTGGTCAGTCTGACCACAGGTTGCCTGGTGACCACAAGTTGGTGGTCAAGCCCAGGGAAGTCAAAATGGACAATTTCAAGCCAGCACGATTGGGAAATAGACATGACACAACAAAGAAAACTCAAAGCAAAGATTCTGAAGTTCCTGTGGTTGACAGAAAAACAGTGCTAGAGGAATTGAGGAAAATACAATCTGTAAGGGGATGTTTTTGGTTTCACTTTTTCAACTTTTACAAGTGACACCTTATTTAAACACTTACTAGTATGTAAAGCTTTTTTTCAATACATATTTATGATGCAGACAATGTCACTATGATGCAGACAATGTCAGACACTGTGCTGATAGGTTTACTATCATAGTATCACTTGAACTAAGTCACTGTTTTGCTCCAGAGTTGTCTTATTTCTTGTAAGCTATTCTATGCAAAAAAGGCAACGGTTACCATAATATGTTAGATGGGGCATTGCTGTCTCTCTCTATATGCATGTTCTATCCTTAGACTATTGTATTGCATTTTCAGTATCTGTAATATACTCAATCACTGCAGCACTGGTGTATTCGATTGCAGTAAGTCAGTAGTAAGATTTTTCCAACAATCACCGCATTCCATTTCTTTTGGGAGCCAAAATATAATTTTAGAGATTGATGTGGGTCCCCTCGGACCCTATGCCATATTTTCAGACTTTTTCAGTAAATGGCAGTCTCATCCCTGAATGCAGTATCTCTCTTTATTGTGTTTCAGCTTGATGGCCAGATGGTCAGGCTGATGTCTCTTCTCCAGCTGACCCAAGAGGATGACCAGCAGAGACAGCAGCTGTGTCAGTCACTGCAGAAACAGCTGGCAGTTTTCTTCCCAGGTAAACAGGGGGCCTGAGCTCATGTGATCATTGCAAGCTTATTGTGTGCTTTGTGAGAGAATTACCACAGTCATGAAGGTTATCTCTTAACCCTCAGTTGACTATCTTTTGGTTATTATTATTGTCTGTCTGTTTTTCTCTTTGTCACCAGTCTGAGTTGCCCAACTTAAAGAGTTATGAATGGAATTTGAAGAGATTTTCGGGATAGGATGGAATTAGGCTTTTTTGACTTGGTATGAATAATCTTTTATCATGGGGAAATTGAAATTATTGTTGAAATTTGCAACAGGATGTAACGTATCTTGTCTCAAAAGCAGTTTGAGTTTGCATTTCATGCGACAAATTATTAGATAAATGTTTGTGGAGTAAAGTAAAATTGTAATTTAGGCCTGATTTGACAGTCCTGAGTAATAAGTATGCCATAGCATATTCACTGCAGCTCTTTTACCTGTGTCATTTTTTCTTAAAATCCATTTTAAAAATTGTAATTACAATATTTCAAATATACATTAATAAAAAAGTATTTGGTTTATTATTTTTATGATATGTCTGTACATATATTTGGTTCATTATTTTCATGATGTGTCATGCACTAATTGATAACACGATAAGTGGAAAACCATTTAATCTTTTGGCTTTTGTACAGAACTGATGCACATTCAAAAAATACAGGATGAGTACAAAAATCGGCTTGATTGGGAAGTTATGCTGTTTTTTCACTTTTCAGCATATTTTATCCACCATTATACAGATAACATGAAAACCGTGTAATATTTTACTTTAAAACTTGTAGGGCATAGGACTAATATACAGAAGTTTGAAAATAATCTTGATCGGTTTAGTTTTGATGAAGTTATGCCTTTTTTGTATATTAGTGTTTTTTCCTCAGATTCAATTCTTAAGCATGTTTACAGTCTCATTATTGAACTAATTAGATACGTAAAAGTTCTTTTGACCTTTTCTGCATTTTAACAATATTGTTAGTTGATTATATAATAATCAACTAACAATATTATATAATAATGATGGTGAATCTGTTATCGTGTATTGTGTAATAAAGTGTCAAAAGTGGAAATAAGCTCATGTCATTGCAGTTTGTCAAATTTAGACATTCACTATGTTCAGAATCTCATAATGGAGCAAATTGGACAATGTAAAATTGTTCTATTGTTATTTTTCCATCTCAACAAATTTCTTAGTTGATCATATAAAAATGAAAGTAAATGGGTTACTTTGTTTTATGTAAAAAAAGCGTTGACAATGTAAATAAACTCATTTCAGTACAGTTATCTCTTGTTTTAAAATGTATTTGATTGTTTATTTATTTTTGATAGGCTGTACCATACACCAGTTTGGATCCTCTGTGAACAAGTTTGGTGTTAAGGGGTGCGACATGGACATCTTTCTTGACCTTCACATAGATGAAGACGACCTTAAAAGTGAAAGATTTTTATCCGAGTCGGAAGTGAGAGTTTAATTTGTATGATTATGTTTAATCCACATGTAATATCTGTTGAAAAATGTTTTTGTCAGAAGTGAGAACTAACGTGTAATAGATTGGAATTAAAAAGGTCAGCTAATATTCAGGTTGCAAAGAAATTGATCCTTTATGGATGAACATGTTTTCTTTACATCAAATAAAATGAAAATGACACTCATCACTTTACGCTTCAGAGCCCTAGTAATTTAGACACCAGAGACAGGCGCCAAATCAAAGTTTATACGCGTGAGGAATTGAGAGAAATGACAAGCTTTGACCAGGTCAAGGCAATCAGAAGAACAATCCAGAGACACATCCCAGAATGCCAGAATGTAGTATTTGTTCCCAGTCAGAGGTGTCCAGTGTGTAGGTTTACCTTCAGGTCCTCAGGGATTAAATGTGATGTATCTGTCAGTAACAGGTAAGTGTAGTACAATAATTACTGTTAGTCTCACTCTCAGTGACAGTAACAACAAATATGTATTGGTACCACTCAAGTATATATACAGTGAACAAGTATATTAAAAGATTGAAAGGCAATTATTGGTATTGATTGAAGATAAAAAAGGACACTTTTTTTGCTGAGTTGGCTCACAACAGCTCTGATGTTTTCCAACTTGGAAAAATTTTATGCACATAAACAAAACAAAATTGTTACCTCTCTTAATTTGTCAATAAAAATAAACTGTCAGAAAAGCAATTTTTAGTATTGATTGCAGACAATGTCCTAAAAAAAGGCACTTTTTTCTTTTTCAAGAGCTTTGGTTACTTTCCTAACCTTTTAAATTTATTTATGTGGTCAATGTGTTCCTCTTTCAGATTAGCTCTCAGAAACACCAAGTTCCTCAGACTCTGCACAGAGCTGGATGTGAGGTTATCTCCTCTGGTTTACGCTATACGTTACTGGGCCAAGTGCAGAGACATTGCAGGCAACATCCAATCAGGAACCAAGCTGAACAATTATGCACTGTGTTTGCTTGTAGTTTTCTACCTCCAGAACTTAGAGAAGCCTATCCTTCCCAGTATTCAGCAGTTGGCCGATTATTGTGGTGGGTTTCATGTGATTGATTATTTTAATGTAGTTTTTGATTTGTTGCTGTTGAATAAAATATTGCTACAACAGTAACTACTTTTATACATGCCAAAAGAAGTGTGTAGAAACTTATTGTCTGTTTCTGGTGAGATGGAAATTTTAACTGAAAAATAATGAGATATTGAAAATTTAAGTTATGTCATTGTGATCATGTGACCACAGTGATTGAAATGATTATTGCCCTTTTTCAGGTCCAGAAGAGAAAGTTGTAATTGAGGACTGGGACTGCTCATTTGTAGAAGATAAGTCAAGCATACCTAGTACAGCTAATACTATGACAGTTGGTAAGTTTTTTTTTCTTTTTTCTTTTTTTTTTTTTTTTGTGCACTCATGCACGCGCACACACACACACATGCACACACACATTCTCCCATAAATTGAAATATCCTTGTTCAGTACATATGAAAAATATCCTAACTGTAATATTTGATAAGTCAAATATATTAAGGCAGCAGATGAATATTAACCTCTATTTAATATTTATTACTTTATTATACTTTTCCTTTCTTCAGGTGAGCTCTTGCTTGGTTTCTATCAGTTCTACGCCAAGTTTGACTTCAGTACAAACATCATCTGCCCCAGAACGGGCAAGACCATGAATTTGATGACTGTACTCAACCCAGATACAATGCCAGCTAAGATGGAAGGTTATAAGGTAAACTTTGCTATATGCTATCTTGACCTGTGTTTTTATCCCTTTAAAATATTTAGCATCAAAAATTGATGATAATAAGTTGACTTAAAATGTACACTTTAAGTATCAATATCACAGCAACGTTGACATTTGAAAAGACGTGAAGGCATAACAAAAATTTATTTCTTTCTCCCCTAGGTGGAAACAGTTGCTATTCAGGATCCTTTTGTCTTGAATCATAACCCAGCATTTAACATCAACGAGAAGATGAAAGAAAGAATTATTTCAGAATTCCAGACAGCAGCCAAGATGGCTGATTTTCTAAGGGACAACCCAGACCATGAGTTTTCACTTCAGGGATTAGTTATGTTTTTATCTAATGAGATACCAGCACAGTTCACTTCTGTTCCACCCAATCAGAGTGATCATCTTATCTCAAAATTAAAACTGGCTGAAAACAAACATCCTTCAAAGCATGGGACAAGAAAACATATGAAAAGTTGCCTGGAAACTTCCTTCGAAATTGTTCTCTGTCCTGCACACCTTTCCCAAAAATGTTTACTTCGACTCAATGAAACCTCTGATTTCAAACATGCATGGCAGCAGGAGATTTGTCAGTTTATTTATAAGCTCCTTACAGAATGTTTACTCATCCCTACTCAGTTATTCAAAAACAATATTTTACAAAAAGGCAGCGAGCAAAATTCTGTACTGCCACCTGGTCAAGAAGACAATGAAGTAGATGGCAGAAGTAGATGGCAGAAAAAAACACCTGATGTCACTGAAAGGACGGAACTTTCTTTCAGTGCAGTGGACAGTAAACCCAATAAAATTGTGGATGACACTGAAAAAGTGACTGAAATGGAGGAGTTTCATTTGAATGATGTTACGAAGAAACAAAAAGATGCAGATGATAAAGATCAATCTGGCAAAATTGAGAAGACTGCCATTGAAAACTTAGTTAATGAACCATTGTCCCTTTTTTCAACTGAGGGTCATGCCATTGGGGCTGCTTTGGGTAGTGGGAGTGGAACACCAAAGAGACAAAACAGTGGTTCTGAATACCTCTCTGATCATCAGATTTTAAAGAAAACAAAAAGTGATGCAAATCTGAACACAGATTGTGAAGTTTTACAGAATGAGGCATGTGCGGAAAACAATTGCGATGATTATTCTCAGCTGGAAAGGGAAGTATTTCAGTCTGAAAGTATTAAGGTGACTGACAATTATTCCATTGATGGGAACAAAGTCTCAGCAGAGGATTGTTTAAAGAACTTAAATCCAAAGAAATTTGATTCAGAGCTAGTGAAGAGTCAGTTAAAGACTAGTCTAAAGCCAGAGGAAAGATACCTTTTTCCTCAGCATAGTGCTATAAGAAAGCAATCTTTTGATAGTAGAATAACAAGTTCTCCTAAAAAACCAAACTTGTTCATGCATTTACAATGCTCCATACAGCATGCTGTGTGGCTGCGTCGCAAAGCAGTACGCAAAAATCTTTTACATGCTGGTCATAAAGATGACCTTGACCTAGAGGTCAAGGTCACCCAGGATGTTATAGAACATGAAAGGGACAGAGGCGAAAAGATTAAGCCATTTGCTATTGATGTGCTGTTGATGGATGATGACAAACAGGCATGTATTAGTCAGACTGCTGTCCACGTTGTTTTGAGAGCACAAACAGATGTAGCAAGTCACTCTTTCAGTTTCTTCAGCTCATATATATCAAAGGGAATTCAGAAGTATTATTCATGATAACCAGCATGATATTTAAGGACATTTATGCATTGTTATTTTTTTCCTATTTTAGACCATTGATGAAAATGGTGGAGTTAACCATTTATGATGCTGTATGTCTTACTTTATCATGCCTAATATCTGTAATACAGAGCATTTAGACAGTAAATATTTGATCATTAGAATTATAAAAAGAAAGAAATGTTATTTTTGGAGTTTTACAGAATTACAAGGCATCTTTACTACTCAGTTTTGGCATTTGAATTTCATTACCAGAAAACTACACAAGATTTATAAAATATACCAGCAACATGTTACAGGTATTTGGATTTTTTTAATTAAAGGGATAATAACTGGAGTAAACAACAATTTTCCTATACTTACTAATGGATAATGATTCTATTTCTACATTCAAAGTTAATCCCTGTTTTTTTTCTAAAAAGTTTTTTTTTGTAATAATCTCTTACATGGCCCCATGGCAAGCTTAGATATCAGAATAATAGCTATAACTGCCATTTTTGTGGTAAAACAGAATAAATTATATTTCTGTGAGTTGTTTACCATGTTTTTATTGTGAAATATAGATCTCATACGAAAAGTTATTATCCCTTTAATATTGCCTTTTCCCAAAACCTCTCTTAATTATTTGTACTTCCATTGAATTGTACTGAATAAACTCTTGAGAATAACCTTAATGGAATTCTCTTTGAATTTTTTTAAAGTTAAGTTTTCAAAGGGTTATTATAAGTTGATATTAAAGCACAGCTTTCGCTGATTGATGTATAAATTTAAACGAAACACCAAGAACGATATACCAGTAGTACACGGCTTTGGTCACAGGTGTCGCTACTAGTGTGTTACAAAACATTGGAGAAAAGATACCTGTGAGGCTGTGAGATAAAAAAATAAAAAATATAGTGTGGTGTTTTCTGTGGTTTTAAGGGTCATTAACCGATCAAGGGGCTAGATAAGCGTGGGTGAGGGGAGAGAACAATCGACGGTAACGGCAGGGGAGAGAGGAGTCCGACTGTGGCACTGGTCTGTCTTGGCGTGTATTGCCACCTACAGCATCTTTGGTTCATCCGCATGGCAAAGTTACCGACCGAACATGATGAACATGGTATCGATAATGCGGTCAGTCATCTTTCGGTCTCCAAAGTTGTGGACAATGAACATTCGCCGATTCTTAAATGAAGGTTCCACAAAAGAAATGACCTCTTCTGTACTGGATTCAGTTCCAAAACTAGAAGAAGATGCAGGTTTGAGCAATTTGATTTCTGCAAATTTGTAGTAACCCACACAAAATTGAAATATTCATTTTTGATTTTCAAAATCTTTTCATTATGAAATTATTTTGTCACTTTGAGCAGTGTCTCTGCTATTTATATAAATGAGTTTAGGGGATCATTTGGAAATTTTTCTATTTTTTAACATGAAATGTACGTAATGTATGCTCATTCAAAACTATATTGAAAACCGAGGCCTGCATGGGTCGCTCGGTAATTCCGAAAATTTACTCGTTTAACATTTCCTGATACAGTATTTCATGTGTACTTTCAGGTGAAAAAATAAAAAAAATTAAATATTCAACCATTTTCCCATGGTGCATGTGTTAGCTTAACAGTACATATCACATACAGTTTTTGTAATTAGGAGTGCTTGTGGATGAATTTCTGTGCAGTTAGCTGGGATGGAAATGGTGGGTGGAAATTTGCTGTTATATCATATGTCAGAGACATTGAAAAGTTGAATGAAAAACGACTTTTAAAAATTAGTATATTTATACACCTGCCAATTTTAACCTAAAAGTCTTTACCAGATTTTTCCATCTCTAGCACTAGCATCTAGAACTATTATTCGTACAGAAAACTGCTCACTGACTCAACAGTACCTGAAAAGGAAGTGAAGGGAAGGTTGGAAAACTGGGGTGCTTTATTCAAAATGAGCACGGATTGGGATTAAGTGTTTAAACTAAGCAAACAAATCATTTATTTGGAACTTTCAGATGTCGAGCCAGAAATTGGTACCACAGGCCTTGATTATGAAGGACAACTTGAGCAGTGGGATGAAATTGCACGCAGAAGCCTTCTATTTTCTTTTAATTTGGATAAAGAAACCCATTCTAAGCTCTATAACCATCTACGGACATTTGGGGAACTGGCTTATCATATCCCCATTGATAAACAGCCCAAAAAGGTAAAAAAAACTCCTCACCTGAAAGAGTGCCTTTTTATGTACAGACACAGATGTGTCTGTACATATTGCCATCACCTGCGTCTGTCGTCGCCGATGCCGATGCCGATGGCGATGCCGATGCCGATGCCGTCGCCGGCGCCGTGCACTTTCCTTGTAAACACGATAAGTGGAAGGCAGTTTCACTTTTTGGCTTAATATTTACAGAGCTGATGAATATTCATAAAACGCAGGTCAAGTTCGAAAATCAGCATGATCGGGCCATTTTAAGGGAAGTTATGCTGTTTTTTCACTTTTTTCAGCATATATGCAACCCTGTAAACACATTTTAAGGAAAACCGTTAGGCCTGTTGTCATGAAACTCACAGTAGTGGTCAATCTTACTAAAATGGAGGTTAAGTTCGAAAATCAGCATAATCGGGGCATTATTTTAGAAGTTATGCTGTTTTTTCACATTTCCTCAGATTCAACTCTTAGGCATGTTAACAGTCTCATTATTGAACTAATAAGATACGTAAAAGTGTTTGTTTGACATTTCCTG